ATTTTTGTGAGTGTCTAAATTTCAGGAGGGGCGAAACGCATCGTTTGCCCCATCACTTAAATTTTAGAGGGGCCCTCTGCCTCCCCCTGGTTGGCACGCCACTGGGTCTGACGCTAGATAGTAGAGGAAACAATGTAAACCAGAAGTGCAATGTACAGAAAGTGTTAACAATCAACTACATGCAGCTGTGGCCTTTCCCCTTCTCTGCAAAGCGTGTTTGTTCTTATGAGAAAGGGAAATAATTCGCGAAAAGCTGTTATACCGTTTTTTACCCTTTCCTTTATGTTATAGTAGGTACGTAATTACAGAAAAGAAAATTTTCAGCAACTCTATCTTAACACAATTTTTTTCCTACATATATATAATTAGAGTACTGTATTTTGAAAAAACATGATGTGGTCTCTTCATATGGGGCCCCCTTGACCGTCGGGGCCCCGGCGTAGTTACGGGCCTGGTTGCCTGTAGGTATTCAATCAAATATTCAATCAATATCCGAAACTGATTGGTTGTGCATAAGGTGTTAACATTACAGCTTTAAGTTTGGATTTATTATCCCGCTGAATCAGTTTTCGGATCAAATTTGATTGGATACCAATAAAGTGACAAGCGACGTCACGCATGTGCATCGAACCTGATTTGATGACCAACGCGTGTCATTGTTTGCAAATATCCAATTATTTTCAAAATGGTGCTAGGTAAAATTTATCTCTGTTTGTATCCCCAATCGAAATTTCGGTCACTTAATGACATAAAAAAATAGACAGACACAAAACTAAAATGAAGAGAATATTAAAATGAAATGAAAATTTTGAAAACCACTTTATTCAAATAGACAAAAATAGAGAGAGTTATTTTTGTCATATCTGAGATAAGGCAGGTGTTGCGTAACGCCGAAACTCTCCATGTCATTCGAAAATAAAGCGACCAATGCTTTTGGTTTTAATAAAATTATTTCTCCTTCTTATTCTACTTGAAATATGCCATTTTGATAACTTTTATTTTCTTTATCTTTTTATCAGCAACGACAATTGTATTACACGTTTTTATTTTAAATTATATCAGTAGATATTATAGAATTAAAAAATATTTTTAAAAAATGACATATAAAAGTATGCCTTTTTTTAAAAAATCTCTGTACTGCATATAAAAGTTCATAAAAAATAGCAAATGCACAAAAGTTTAATGTTTGAAGTAAAAATTTAAAATGAATCCAGTTCAAGAAGTTCCATACTTGGCTTTTGCTTTGTTGGATTGGTCCAACTGGTCTTGTAAGTCAACAATGGCTTCTTGGTGTTTTTTTCGTAAATGATGTGCTGTTTCTTCACTCTCCAGATGAACATCCTCCAACAACTTTCTCAACTTCGATAGTTCTGTGTCTCGTTTCTTGTTCATTTCGAGCTAAAGTAAAGGGATTTCGAACTTAAGAAAAAATTACTACTCCAACATTAGAATAGCATGACTCAAAAGAAAAACAAAATTTAAATAATGGTTATATTCAAGAGTAGATTTGTACACGCGAATCACAAACTTGCGATTAGTGCATAGTTGATAACTAAATGGTGTTTCTTATGTTTCAATATATAATCCTGTTACAATAACTGCAAATGTTCAACTAAATATTACAGATAGTGTTAATTTCTAATGAGTTGGTGATTGTCTTTTTTAATATTTTCTGACCAAAATGGGGACTAACTTATACGAAATTTAAACCTGAAAAAAAAAAACTTGAAGTTACTAAAGATTATTTTTAATAAGAACATTTTAATGAAAGAGATTTCAGGGGTTGATTTTTGTTTTTGTTCAAAAGTAATAATCGGTCAAAACGGTGAATATTTGACTTTATAAAGAAATTACCGTCGACTATTTGCAGATGCGCTATATTCCTAAAATTTATTTTAAAAATTTAACATAGAAATATTGTGTACTAAAAAAAGTTACAAAGATATTAATGTATTTTCAAACAAGAATAAAGTGTTCCAAGTATTCATCTTAATAACAATTTATTGCGTTAAAAGTAACGAAAATAATATTATGTAATGGTTAAAAACTGCAAGAAATTTAAATATTTCAGAGTTAAAATATTATCAACTGACACATTGTCACATTCTGGTTATTAAACAAATATTTAAAAATAATTTTCATTCCAAATTGCTATAAATTTAAGAGGAAAAGAATTCTGAAGCGTTTGGTTATGTATATACGGTTTAGATGTATGCTAGATTGGTTATTAAATTCACATGTTTGGTTATGTATCTGTATGCGAAATATCATACATACATAATTTGGATTTAGTGATATAAACTGTTAGAATTTTCGTTCTAAAATTAACCTAAAATAACAGACAGTAGTCTGCCCAAACGATCAATTGTAAACCTTACGGTTGGGAACTTTTCCTTACCTTTACGGTTTTGGGTTTTGGAACCATTTACATCTGGTATGGTTAAAAAACCGCGAAAAAAATTAAGTGGTTTTATAACCGTGCAACTATAATATGACTCAAACAAAAGCGTAAAAATGAAATTTAACTAGACATTGAAGTTATTTTATGTAAGGCTTTTCATTGTGCAATGAAAACTGGAATCAGGGTGTTTTGTCCAATGAACATTGGAATGTGACTTAATAAGTTTATCTGGTGGTACTACACATCATTAGTGATGACTTCTTTATATTAAGCAGCTCCGTGGTGCTGCCATTTATGCGTGAAGTAGAGTTTATGAGAGTTTAGTATTCCAATAGTCACCAACTGGAACGCTGAAAACTTTATATGAGTTGAAGGAAAGGGAGAAATATTGTGACGTCAACGTTGGGATTTGAACCACCGTTTAGCTGGTCGTAAGAGTGGCAGATTCGCCCTCTCGGCTATCCTATGTACCCGGATGCAATAAACTAAAAGGCTTCATAAAGTGGGTCTAGTTAAGGCGGATAAAATTTCTGTTGCTTTACAGTATTGAGGAAAAACAGCCAATAAACGTTTTTTTTTTTACATCTAACAGTTTGAATACCATCTTTTTCTTATGGTTATTTTACTGCTTTGGTTGAATGTGGTAAAGTAACAAATAAATAAATATAAAAAAATTAATTTTTCGAGAAATTTCTAACAGTGTATGTTCTACTTTGCTGATGAATTGAAAAATACATCCAAAGAGAACATAATTATTTTATACCTGATTGTCGCTACTCCCTTCGGCCTCTTCAAGTCGTTCAGAAATCTGCATTAGATGGACTGTAAGGTCGGATTTTTCTCTTTCAATCTGAAAACGAACAATAGAATCACATAGAGAATAAAATATATAACTAATAATGAGGCTATTTATCTTTGATAAGTTACATTCAATAAGCTAAACATATGATTTTTCATTGGTTATGCATTAAAGCAAGTTTGTTAAGAAAATCAAATAAGAACTAAGTCAATAATATTTTGTTTCGATGTAGTCCGTAATATGTTGCGTAGATTATTCTACTTTTATCTAGCTTAGTCTTCTTTCATTTTAGCATTTTTAGAGAAATGCAATCTTTGTTGTTGTAGTTAAAATTACAGTTAAAAGTTTAAAATTAAAAGTTTATGGCTAAAAGTTTATGGTTAAAAGTTTACAGTTATAGTTTTCAAAAGGGAGGTAAATTTATATGCTTCGTTTTAAACTAGTAAAGTTGCTATTAAATAGAACAAAATTGTTCTTTTCAACTACGTTTTTAATCTTGTCCTAGAAGAGTGTCTTTTTTTCACCCATATAAATGATAATAAATTAATCATTATGTTGCTATAGATTGTCACTTTTAATCGCTTAAAGCAATTCAAGGATCATTTTTAAAGGATGCTACTCTTTGATGGGCAAATTCAACACCAACTATTTCTTTTACTCACGCGAAAGAGAGGAGAATATATAATTTAAAATGGTGCAGAATTGCAAAAATATTTTTATTTTATTTTCTAGTCTGTCGATTTCTAAATTCGATGCTTGAAGTATTTCCAAATTCCTTCTAAATTCGAAGCCACTCAACGGTAAATAAATAAAAGAAAATTATTTTAAAAAAACAGACTCGATTTCGGATCGTATTTGTTGGCTATAATCTCTGAACTGTGCTTTTGACACAGTGTTATATGGCATATATTATCAAGTGAGAAAAAATCCCTTAGTATATTACAATAAATTTTAAATAAGTTATTTCCCTCAACCAACTTACTGTTACTCCAACAAAAGACCTTGGGCCGTAATAAAAAGAGAAATAAAGATAACATATTAAAATTTACATAATGCCCAAGCCTTGGGAAGCAATATTCCAATCCAGCTACTTTTAACGATTCGCATTTCTGTTTGGGATAATTTTAAACAAATAAATAAATAAAACAAGATTTTTGGTTATTTTTTCAGTTTAGGTAACACATTTTAAAAGAAACAAAAGCTTAAATTATAATTGCGACCAACTACAGTCAGGAGAAAAATCACCAAAAAGAAGGCGAGTTGTTAAAGGTCGTTGGATTGTAAACTAGCCTACGTGAAAAATCTTCGCTCTTGACGCATTCCTCAAGACTAAACGATGTGTACTGTAATTACCAAATTAAGAGTTACCTTTTTGCATGGACACTTACACCACATTTATGTTATTTTTCCCCCCACTACACCCTCTATTCTACAAGAAACGGTATGGATTTAATGATATCTTCCTCTCATCTTCAAGACGAAGCGTTTTTCTGTTGTTGATTGCTTAAATATTTTTGAACTCTACTGAAACGATCGGGAGTTACGGTCTTTGAACTCTCCCCCTAAGAAAGATTAAAAAAAAGCATATTTTTGTGAAAAAAAATTTTATGAAATTTATTTTCCTTGTACGTCAATAGTTAGAGAGGTTCTTAAAAGCTTATAATTTGATTTATTTCCTCTTTAATCACTCATGTGTCTGAAGAGAGGTGAAATCATTTTTAAGAGGAATGCTTAAAGAAGTGAGTAATCTTGATCAACTTCATTTTTTTTAAACTTCCTGAAATGTTTCCTTTTACAAAATAGGTTCACAACATTTTGGAAAAGCTCCCAATTTTGCTTTTATTGGCTCGAACGGGGAAAAAAAAGAAAAATAAACATGTCAAAAAATCACTTCCAGTTCCTAACGTTGCTTCTAATTTTGGTCATATGACCTGGCTCTATGAGGGTGGAGATCAGATATTTCAAGGCATTTTGTGTTCCCTACCTCCCCCAACACCGATGTTTCAGACTTGTTGATGACATCTCATCCCAGAATACATTCTCCGAGGATAAGAATTTTGGCACACAACTGTAATATCATTAGAGCAAAAAGAAATTGTCTGTCTTCTTCTTGAAGCATGAAGGAGCATCATTTTGACGCTTGGATTTCCAATTCTGCTACATTATCAGGACTTGGCAGAGATTTTAGTATTCATCAAATAAAGCAGCTGGGGATGGCGACTTTTTATGCTCCTGATGAAGCTCCGCTTATTTCGTATTAAAAGCTTACTGTCACCTAACTTCGGTGTAAAATTTCATATTCAGATATATTTGCTGCCTTGTTCTCTATAATCTCTTTCAACTTCAAATAATTTTTGCTTAGTTACATTGTTTAACTTTTAAGATGTTTAACTAATTTAAGGTTCGAAGCATTGAAAAATCCTACATTCTTTCTACAAGAAAAAAATAAAGAATGATGGACGAATCACATCTTTTATCTTATGAAATAACTTTTTTTAATGCCAATAAAAAAGCTGTGGTAAACTTGTAACTGTTATTCATAACTATTTAGCTAAATTGCTCCCATTTTTAGACAGCTCTATCCTCCATGCTGATTATGAAAATGATGCAAAATGCCATCGAAGGACGGAAACTTTTTAGTTTCTTTTACTAGACTTAATATTATTCTAATCCAAATTATTGGAACCAAATTTTACAAGCTTCTGATTCTTATTTTCGATTTTACAATAATGTACTAACAGATTTATTGTTCCATTTTCAAGTCTTTGGTATTTTTCGTGATTGTTATTTTTTTATATCGCATTTCATAAAAATATATAGTCCAGAGCTTTGCCGAAATTTCAGATTTTTTTAAACAGAACGTATTATATCAATATAAGTAAAGGGAAAATATTATAACGTCAAAATCGGAGCAATTCATGAAGACAAGCTTCAAATTCGTATTCAATTCTGAGAATTATAAATTGTGAAATATTTACATTTCTTTTTCAGCCTTTCTTGTCAAAATCATTAATTGTCTGAACTATATATTCAGACAAAAACGATATTTTAAAACTGTGTCAAGGTCATTTATTTAAGTTCCATTATATATTCTATTATAATAATAATTGATACACGCAGTCTAATATTCGAAAAAAAGCTGTTTATTTATTACTTAAACACCTAAAGGGATATCAAAAGTGAAGTCAAAAAGACAAATAAAGTTGCTATCCTCTTTAACTTTAAATTTTTTTTCTTAACAAATTTTAAGAAAAAGAATTTGCTTTGTAGGAAAGTGATTTGAGCTCTTTAAAATTATTTTTTAATCTTTATACATTAATATTATGTTATGAGTCTTTGCAAATATGCATCAACTATATTTCATTAACTAATCGTAAGATTTATATTATTTATTTATGCATTGTAACTCAAATTTAACTCAGAGCATCCACTACTTCCTGGAACATATAAAAAAGCCTTGCACCTTCGAATGGATGGAAAATGAGTGAGCACAGACACCCTTGCTAAAGAAGTCCGAAACTTAGATCAGACCCCAAGCATCACCTCTGAAGACGCAAATGCCAGTAGATAAAAATTTTAAAACATTTTCTGTCTTCTGGCAATACAAAAACAATAATATAAACAATAAAAGAATTTAAAGTAAAAATGAAAAATTAATAGAATTAAAAAAATAACTACTAATAATTTAAGATTTATGCCTTTTTAAAAAGTTGTGGAATTTTACAGTAACTTAAAGTCAATAAATTTAATGTATTCGAAGTATATTAAATAGATACATTAAATTGAATCAATGAAAAATAAAATTAATATTTTTTTCTTCCTTTGTTGCCCACGTATACCTTTTAATAAAAATACAGCTGTCATTCCTGATTTAAAATTAGTGTTATGGAGAATTAGATTATTTTTTGCCATTTCTATTACTGCAAAAAATAAAAATCATTAGATTTTTCGAAATAATTTCTACCGATTATTGTATATTACTTCCAATAGATTTATATGTTCTATTAAAAAAATCATCACACTTTTCTTGAATAAACAACTTGTGAGCAAAGCATTAATGACATAACATGAATGCATTTCCTAAATGCATTTTGTACATTATTGCAAGTTCTTAAATTTAAAGAATTACATTTAACAGCTTTTTTGCAAACTGTAAAGAAAAATATAATTTTGTACGAACCCTTTGTCTAAATTCTCTTTCAGATTCCAAATCTTCTTGAAGAAGTCGAATTTTATCCTGTAAAAAAAAAAAATTTAAATGAGATGAATAAAAGGAAAAAATTATCATTAATATAAATTTGTGCACTTACATTTTTCATAAAACAATGTTCGACCGTAGTGTAAAAAGATTTTTGAAGGGCAAATAGAAACTGTTCAGTGAAATAAATATTTAATTACACAAGACATTTCAAAATGAAATTTTTATTCTACAGTTCAGATAGAAAAAAACTCTGAGTTTTCATATGTTACATAACATTAATTTTACATTTTAAATTGAACTTTTTTACAGTAATTTATTTATATAATCATTAAATTTATGTGATCATTGATCATACAACTTTATCCATATCACTTTTGCAGTACATTGGGAAAATCAGTATTTATTTTTTTGTAAATTTATTTTTTATTCATCTTATTCTGTATAAAAAGTAATCTCATTCTGTATTTATATTTAAGTGGTAAAATAGCTGAAGTATTAAAATTTATTTGTTGATCCTGGCAATGTTTGAAATAAAAATAAGGCTTATTGTTGATTAAATCTGTATGAACAGAAAGTAAATTTCAAAATAAAGTATAGTTTTTTTTAATACTAATTTTAGATTGATTTAGATACTAATTTTAGATAAAATTTAGATGGGTATTTTCTTAGATCTTATATTTGTATTTAGTACGTATGTTTAATTTTTTTTACTAATGTTGCGAACAGTGATTAATATTTGTCCTTTTCGTTGCCTTTGCAAGCCTCGTTGCCTTCGTTGCCTTTGCAATCATTTCGTTGCCTTCCGAAGGGCTAATTATCACTCAAATTGTATTTAATTTTATTATCCCTACAGGGGAAATTATCCCACATAGAAGAAAAAATTCCAATAAAATTATCGTACTGTATGATAATGACATTTCTGGGTGCGAAAAAAAAAACATAAGTAAAACTCAGACTAATAAAAGCAAAATATTCGGTATTTACATTATTCATTTGATATTTTTTTCGGTTCACATGGTAGTGTTTTATCGGAAATTCTGGTTCTCGAATTTTTTTTTTTTAAATGGCGGGCACTTGGAGGTTGTCACATTGGCCCCAGAAGTGCCAGAACTGCTACTCTCTTCTCGTTACCCAGTGGGCACCTGTGGCGAAGCCACGGCTGTGGAGCAGCGTCGCTCACGTCACCCAACCACAAAACCGTTTATAGGGCGGGCCACATTCACACAATCACACACAAAGGAGAACATCCATGCCCTGAGCAGGATTCGAACCCGCGACCAGCGGCTCCGCAGTCAGGAGCGCTAACCACTCGGCCATCAGGTCGGATCTCGAAAAATTACAGTTCTTAATATCACCCATTAAGTAAAGAATACAAAACTAAGAAGTAAATTTAATCGAATAAGTGTTTTTATGTTATGTTCTAAGATATTATAATAAAATTACTAAATTTTACTGCATTTACTAAATTTCATCACATATTAGTATAAAACTATAGTTTATTGTTAATTTTTTCAAAATCATTACCAAAGCGCTTCAGTCAAATTTACCGAGCTCGTTTGGTGTTTCCATAGAACCAGAAACACGTTAAATTTTACTATATTCTGGCAGTTTCTACCGCACTTTTTTTCTCAGAGCTGTCAATCGACTTTTATTCTCAAACTTTATTTTCTTTAATTTTATTTATTTATAAATTTTTTTTAGTACAAGGTTGTGGCCTTTTTCCCGTGACGTTGCATGTTTTAGTGCATAAATTGGTGCATCTTTTCAGTCCTACTTCATCTTTGACTATCCATTTTATACAAGAAACTAATTACTTAAATGAAATGCAGCAAAAATTAAGAGTTACTCAGAGCCGGTGAAAGAGTCAAAAATTTAAAAAAAATTAGTTCTGTCGGACATAGTGGTACTAAATTGTACAGTACAGTGGTATTGAATTTCTTCCTACTCTACCATGGTCTAAAATGACTCCAAATGCTATTTATATTTGTTATTATAAAAATAAGCTTACATTAAAAAAAACGTGAATATTTAACTTCATGCTTACGGCTAGTACAACAACTGTTAGCAAACTAAATACCGTATGCAAAAGGTTAAAAATTATCAAAAAGAAATTTTTTCTTTCAAAATATTATAATAATTTAAAACATCATGTAAAATCACAAATTTTTAGGAAAATACTTGTTCCTTCTTTTTGCGCTTAATCTTTCATTATAATCTATGGCCCAGTTAGTGCTTGATAGTCCAATAGTACTTTAGTTCAGCTCTAAGAAGAAAAGTATGGCCAAAACTACTAAATATGGTAGAATTTACCCCAATTACCCCAATTTATCCCAAGAAACTGTAGCGGTAAGATATACAGTTGAACCTCTATTTAACGAAGTTGCTAAATCCCGATAATAATTTCGTTATATGAAAAATTCGTTAAATAGAAAATCACCTTTTGAAATATTTAAACAACACAAAACAAGTTTTAAATTCATAAACACTAGGCATAATTAAAATAGCAATTGATACACCTTTATCTTGTAAATTGGTATCTACTATTTATTTTATAAATCTTAACCATAAAAGAAAAATATGCATAGAAAGCAAGAATACAGCAAAACATTAACCAGTGTTACACTATCATGCGACATACATTTTAAACTAAAAGAAGCTAAATTTATGTATAGTTGCATTTTTTATAAAAGTAATTTTAAAAATACATTACCACATGAGCACTTAAGTTTAATGCGACTGATAAAATCCGTTAATTTTATCTGAGTTTTTCGTTTGAAATGCAAACAAAAAGGGAAAGCGATTTTACTGCTTTCTCTAAACGTTAAGTGGCTGCGAATATCAATTCAATTTTATTTCACTCATGAAATGTGTTAACAAGTTTGAAATGTTCTGAAATATTTTAAGAAATAGGGAAAATGAATCTAAAAGAGATGTTCGTTGAATAGAAAATTCACTTCGCTATTTGGAAGTTATTTTTACGAAGAAATTTCCAAATTGTTCTTAATTCTTCGGAAAAAAAATCGCAAAATAAGGAAATTCTCAAAAAGGAAGTTCGTTAAATAGAAGTCCGACTGCACTTGATAAAAAAAATCTTTATTTGCTTCTTTCCATCTTAATAATTTTTGAAGCAAATAAAATAAAGTTTTTACATTTACAATCGAAACCTATTCGATTGGTGAAAAATTCTTCTTACAACGGTCAGAAGAGGATTTTAAACTTAAATTGCCAACTGGAACAGAGCTCCATATTAAATTTGCGCACTTGCATACTTGTTCCTTCTTTTTGCGCTTAATCTTTTATTATAATCTATAGCCCAGTTAGTGCTTGATAGTCCAATAGTACTTTAGTTCAGCTCTAAGAAGAAAAGTATGGCCAAAACTACTAAATATGGTAGAATTTACCGTGTTTCTGGCATTAGTGGAGCACCAAAAAATTCGGTAGTTTTTTTTTTTTTTGCCAAAGCGCTTTGATAGTGACTTCGATAAAAATTAACAATAAAACATAGCTTTATTATCATGCTGATGAGGTAACATTTGGTAGTTTTACTTAAGGCGTTGGTAATTTTACCTAAAGATTTAGTAATTTTACTTAAGGCGTTGGTAATTTTACCTAAAGATTTAGTAATTTTACCTGAAGATTTAGTAATTTTACCTGAAGATTTAGTAATTTTACCAAAAGTGTTGTTAATTTTAACAGTACTAGTATAGTTTAAGATAGCACAAAAATGTTCAGTTTAATGACTTATATTTTATTTAGTAAACATTTGTTAAGTTGTTGTTTTTTCATCAGTTAGTTGTTTTTTCTTTCTATGTAAGTTCAGAGCTAACATCTACCAGCTCTTACAACTGTAAAAATTACGTATTTTCAAATATACAAATGACTGTACGAAGCTAAGCTTAAACAGTAATTTAAATGTTACATGTTGCATGTTACATCTATATATATAAAAATCTCTTGTCACAGTTTTNGCCGGGTCAGCTAGTATATAAATATAAATGTTACGCATCAGACTCATCATTTATATTCATGCACAAAAAAGAGCAAAAGCTAAATAATGATTCGCAGATCAATACTGCTCGATATTTCGTTACGGGTTGAACAATTATGTCCCTCAAATTCGCTGTAACTTTAAAACGGTGTCAAATTGAACTATATATGATAGTACTGCGTAAACTTGATGACACTTGACAACTTGAATTAAATTATGGTTTAAATTAACACTCAATTAATGCTGCAGCATTTTTGCTCGGTATTATGACGTAACGTTGAACCTATTTTTCAGAGAGTGAGGTAATTGTGATAAGTAAAAGAAAAACACAAACAACACTTTTTTTTCGCATTATTTGCTTCAAGGAAAAGAGGGTTGCTCATTCTAGAGCAATATTCATTTTTCTTCCAAGTTCCGGTAATAAAGCAAAAATTTTCCTCTTTCTGAGCCGAAATTGGAAACAGGAGGATGAAATACGTCCACGTAGAATGAGCTGAAGAACATGCCTGTATATGTGGGTAACTGTTGTACCCTCTCGTTTACTTTCCAATTTTAAACATCCAATAAGCTTCATGGTTGACGTTGGCAAAATAAATTCTTTCCCTACATTTTTCCTTCTTTCAAAACATTTCTCCATTTTTCTTCATCGGTTTAGAACAAATGTTCCGTGACACAGCTATTTATTTTATTTGGAATGTTATTAAAATCAACTATGAGATGCGCGAAAATTATCAAAAATATTCAAAATCTCTTAAAAAGTTTTGCGAAGTAATGATTTCTCTGAAAAATATAGTTTCTTTAAGTTAAAAAAAGATTCGAAGTAGGGTGGTATGTTTTTTTCTTACGAATGCGGTGTTCTCAGTTTTTATCATTATACTTTCATAACATCATAGGAAAAAATATTCAGTAATGCCATAATAACAAGTGCCATATTCAACAGTGTAATTCCTTTCTTTCCCTTTTCTTTTTTTCAAAACATTTTCCTCTTTTTTATTATTTTGCAGCAAATTGTTGCGTAAACTCAAATACAGAATGTATATCAATTTAT